TTGTCGACCTATTTTCGATACAGCACTTTTGTTTCAAAATGTTTTACATATTCTAAAATTTGTCTAAATGAAAATATGAAAAATATTTGTCCTTTAATAACCACAGGTGCATACGTTGCAAGAATACCTATTATCATTGTAAAAGCGTTAGAAAAAAATACAAAACTAACAGTCAAAACATGTCACTCTGACAGATAGTGGCGATTTAGATATCGGTAAATAACCTCATAATATGCCAACGTTAAAAATGTTCATTTTATAGTAATTAGGTGCCTACCTATTTTCAACAATGTTAAAGCCCATAAGAAAATATTGCTTGCCTCTTGAAACCAAAATAAAGATTTTTTTTTGCAGAATATTAAATTACTTTACAAAGGCGGATATCTTTAACAAAACTTATTATGAACCAATATAAAAGTATAACATCGTAAGTTGACGATTAATAAAAATAATAGCCACCAAATATTAAGAAGTGATCAAATGAAAGCATGCAAAAACCTAGCGAGTAACAAGAGCAGAAATTTCCCAGTTCTTAGATATAAAAAAAAAACAGCCAGTTTCTTAAATAGTGGTACAAATTTGACTTCCGAATGGATTGACTAACTCTCGGAAAATTTGTATCTCCAAGTACATATATCTCTTTTCTTTATACGGTCGTTGGTGACTTTTTTTATCCTCCTTCCTATACATAAACTCCGTTCAGCATGACTTGAAAAGAACTTACCTAGATTGCCAGCAACAAAGCCTATAACACTGAAAAAAGGTTGTCATATGTCTATCTTTTCACACATGATTGCTGCTTGTCCTACAGATCAAGATATTGGGTATTTGACAGAGAAACTCAAAGAAATATAAAGGGAGAACGCATAGTTGTCGAGATGTACAATTTACTAAATTACTGTGAGAATGATTATTAAAACGCGTGACACCACGTAAGCGTTTTTAGCTGAAGTAAAGCCCAACCCGCAAGCTAATTGAATAACAGGAATGCCTTACAAATAATTATAGTCTCAACTGCCAAACCGATTTTCAAAAAAAATTCCTCCCAGGCCATTTTATTTTTCAATTAGCAAATAGAATTTGATTTATACTAGTATTTGAAATAGAGTGATATCGTTCTCCATAGGGTCGTTATCTTGATTTTTGTGCGTAAGTCACCGGTGACTTAAAACGCGGCGCTGCAGGCGGTACGATATGCTTTTGAGTTTTTCTTCTGAATACAGCCATAGTGTTTAAAATTTATTTTTATCAAATACATGATATTCCTATTTGAAGAATCGTCGTTGGTCACCACACCGCCTTATGGACAAAGTTTATCACAAAGTTTACTGTTGACCACTGGTGACCTACGCGGCGCCCCAGGAAGAATTAATTACCCGTAGGTCACATAATAATACACCTCGTAACATACCATCAACAAAAGCGGACATCTAACGAGAAAAAAAATATTTATACAAGGCAACGCGAATTCCAGTAGAGTGCTGGAAAAATTGATTAGCCAATCAATATAATATACTGCTACATTTTGCCAGATTCATGCTCGGCTTAAGGTACCTATATCTAGAACCGACTAAATGAGCTGATTCAATTCTGGGGTGTAGGATGAGCTAGTGAGTTATGATCTCATCGGTTTCTGAACAGGAGTTTTTTTTTTTCGACTTATTCTCGCGTTTGTGCAATAGGCTTGGAAGGAATTGAAAGAATTGAACAGAAACTTTTCAAAGAAACCCAGTTCACAATTTTGCTCAAATATTGCTACATTGTGCGGAAAACCGACGCCATTTTGCACGACCAGCGCAGAAAAATTGAACATTGAATAACCAAAATCTACGAGAATTCTGGAAATTCTTCTTGGATGACTCGTTTTGCACATCGAACGGGAAGGTAGTAAGTTTCCGTCAGTTTGAGTAAGAGAATTGTTGTTGTAAAGTCAACTAAAAACAAATTCATAAACGATTTTCCTGAAAACTTACAGAACCTTCTAACCCAAAAGTTATGCAAAAAATAGTTACTTTATTAGTGTTCTTTGACATCGAAAAACAAGTCCACAGAGTGATTTTTGTCTAGAACATTCCTATATTTTAATAACTCATTGGATACCTCTGCATTCACTGATTTCAATAATATAAAATTTGATAGTTTTATGTTTAATAGTTTTTGAGAATAGAATTAAAATCCATGTTTGTCATAAGAACCATTGTGTTAGAAAAGGACTCTGTAAGGAGAATGAGAAAGGTTCAGAGCTATCCAATAAGATATTAAAATATAGGGTGTTCTATTTTAAAAAATCGGACTTTGGTCAATATCTCGAAATTCTAGCGAAGTATCAAAAAACTGAGAATATCACCGGACTCTGCTTAAAATACTTGGTGCTTTTGGAAAGTTTTTACGGAAATCAATTATCTCTATAGATGAAAAAGTTATGAAGCTTTTCGTATTAAAAGTGTCCAAATTGGACCACCCTGTACAGGGTGTCCCTTTTGTTACATTTCGGGACACCCCTTGTATCTCGGTTTTCTCATAACTAAACGAAAAGGTGACAACGGTTTCTTATAGATCTTTCTACGTAGATTCCAGGCGAAGTCAGATTTTCTCTAGCTAGAAGTACTAATAGTTTTTGAATTATGAACCAAACCTACGTTTTTTTTTCAAATGAGACACTCTGTATAATAATAATTCATTGGATAGCTCTGCTTCTACTGAATTTATATCTTTAGGGAAAATGAGAAAGGTCTCTTTGTAACACATTGTTTCCTATGACAAAAACAGATAAAAACAATCTTCTCGAAAACTTTTTAAGATATTAGGTACCTACCTACCTATCGAACTTTGTATCATTGAAATTAGCAAAAGCAGAACTAGCCAATGAGTTATTAATATACAGGGTGTCTTATGTGAAAAAAAGGAAATTTGGCTCATAAATTACAAACTATCAGCTCCCAAACTGACTCCGCCACTGAAATCTACCTAAGAAGATCTATAAAAACCCGTTGTCTTCTTTTCGATCAGTTATGAGAGAACCGAGATAAAACGGGTCTCCCAAAATGCAACATTTTCAAAAACAACTTGTATCTGAAAAACAGAAAGGGCGATGACAGTTTGGTTGACGGCATCTTTCGTTTACCTAACAAAAAAGTAGCCATTGTTCGCGAAAACCGCATCCTTCCAACTCCAACAGCAACGAAAATATCCCTTATATACAAGGTCTGTTCCTTATAATTAATGCGGCTTCTACAACTTATACAAAAAAAAAATTGAAAGAAAAAGTTCAATACAAAAGTTGTAGGGTTTTATCTCTATTATCTTTTGCAAATGTCAAAACGGGCAAATGACGTGCCAACTGTAATAATGACAAACACTTTCATTTTTTTAATGGAACACCCTGTATATTTCTAAATAGAATGATAGATTTTTTTCTTCCGATTCCAAATATATCATTATATGTTGATATATTTGGTTCAGCTGTTTTTACGCGATTTAAGTTTAAAAATGCATATACATTAAATTAGGTCTGTTCCCGGTTTCCTTACATCAATGGTGAGGGTTGCTTAATACAATTTTGAACCTAAATAACGCAAAAACAGCTGAATCAAATATCAAAATGGTAGATTTGGAATCAGAAAAAAAAAAAAACATTCTGGCCAAAAATATACAGGGTGTCCAGTTAAAAAATGCAAGTGTTTGTCATTATGATAGTTGGCAGCTGTCATTTGCCTATGCGAAAGACAATAGAGATAAAACCTCGGATAAAACCCTACAACTTTTGTGTTCAACTTTTTTTTTTTTTTTTTTCAAGTTGTAGAAGCCACACTAATTATAAGGAACAGACCCTGTACAACCAAAATGGGACACCCTGTACATGCTAGAAATGGAAATAATGTCAATTTTATGGAATATGAAAAAAATTGCCTGATTTTATCTACCAAAGTTAAATTACAATATTTTACAGTAATAAATATTGAAAATCTTTGACCTAATTTTTTAGTATCACCCTGTATTGCTGCAAGGTCGGTGCAATGGAAGAAAATGCCTATTTCGACATCCAAAATAATATACTAAACTTTCAACAAAATCTGTCTGTGAACGAAATCCATAAGAAGTGTGAGATGTTTTCTGTGACTCCCAAACGGGTCGCTAGAAGTTTTTTGATTTTTTTTCAAAATTCTTCCACTAGGTTGGGATCCTAATTGGAACTGCATTCAGATCAAGGGCACAACTTTGAGCCACGATAATTCCTGAAACTTTGTGAACTGTTAGCCATTGAATCTTGAACTTTGCTCATATTTTTTTTACATACTGCATTTCCATCGTTGGTAGAGTAGAATTGTGTTAATTTTTATAAGTTTTGTTTTTGGTTGGTTACTATTAGTTGGTTAAAAATCTTCCTTTCCAGCAAATAATGTTCATTTGAAAAACAAAATGTTTAATCTTTAAAACCAAAAATTAAGTGAATCAAATATTAGAAACGAGCCTGGCATCTTATAAACCGGTAAACAAAAAGAATCCACCAATTTACCGCACGGACGCTCTAATTCCGTCAATTACTGATATCAATAACCAATGTAAGTGAGAATTTAGGCTTGTACTTTCTAATGCGATAATCTCAATACCAAAGTCTAATTCCAACAAACTACCTACTTACTTTAAAATCAAAGAAAAACAAAGTTAAAAAACCACCCAATAAAAAATAACCGGAAGTCACCGAAAAACATCAAACGGCGAAAAATTCGGCAGCCCAAAGTGCCGGATGAATGCGATTGGTGATTCCGAGTACGGTACCATTTCATAGGAAGTGGGTTAGCTAAGCTCTTCGTTATGCGCTCGCGGACTTAGCTTACATAGTGTGTAAAGCTTTTTCTACGACACAGACCTTCTTCAGCCTTCGATAGTACCACCGGCTTCAGTAGACAAGGACGCTCGCGAAGATTTACACTTGAACTTGACAAAGTTCTGACGGGTCGCAAAGTTTATTTTCCTAGTTTGATATAAAATTATTTAAAATGCGCGTTCTGGTTTTCGTCAGTTTATTGTGCGCGGTGCACATTGAGGCACAAACGAATTTTTGGGACTATTCTCAAAATTTTTTCTCGAAGCTCTTGAGGCAAGGCAAGAATTCAGTTGAGCGTGTGGTGACTACCCCTATTGCAACTACCTTGGTGCCGACCACTGCCAGGCCCCCTACAAAAATGACAACGCCATCATATACAACACAAATGTTTTTGGCTAATAAAACTCAATCCACTACACCAATTACTATTACTACTACCACATATTTTACAACTACCCCCACAGAATCAACTACAATAACAAAAGCTTACACTTCAGTCACAACTAGTACTACCCCAGCAACTAGCACTGTGGTAGATTTTAGTACTGCCAGCACAGTTTTTGACACGACAACCCCTGATTTTGTTGCAACCACCGGAGAACCTAGAGAAAACCCCAACAGCCACGAATTTTATCTTCCAAATATCAAGCGGGAAAAACCACAAATTAAAATTGCCTCAAATATTAGTCAGGTAAGTAACTAAACTTATTTAAGGTTCCATTTCATTAAATTATCTATTACATAAAAATAATAATATTTGTTTCAAAATGAAAATTTTTTAAGCATTAAACGTCCAAATGTATTAATTAGTTTTGAACAGTTAGACAGGAGCAACGGCTTTTAAGGTGTATTTAAGTTTTTTTTTTAAATCTGATATTTCATGGTTCATGGGTTTTATCTCAGATGCTACGTTTAAAGCGAGAAAAATCCTATTACGACGAGCAAACATCATTAAAATAACGCTTTGTTTTTTCCCAATTTTCTGCTTTAATAACGAAAGCTACAAGCCGAAGAACGAATTCGATGCCGTCACCGTCTCTAAAATACTTAAAAAATCGGTTGAAAGTATGGATTCACTTGTATAGTTAACAACTTGGTAGTTATTATTAATAATTGTTATATCGTGAGTATGCAAAAACAAGACAATCTGAAAACTATGATAATGGGTTAGTCTTGTCTGTGTTTTGTCTATAGTTCAAAACACTGTTACACAATTAATATTTTTCTATATAAACCTAATCAATATAAAAAATATTTTTTCAAGCTCAGATAATAAATAAATATATAATAGGTATTATCGGGAAATCATAGAAGAATTGTTTTCACTTGTGAATTTCCAGAAAACTTTATATTTACGTAACTGGACGACTCGAAAAGGAAAACGTTTCACGTTGTCGAAAGTGAAAGAATGCCTTCAAAGCCTTAAGCTTTCTGAGAACCGAACAGCTTTTTTCAAATTTTTCATCGCCAAATGAATGAACTCGAAAAAAACTTTTTGATTCGATCTATTTTCACCTTTTCATTAACTATAGATATACCATCGTCGCCAAAAATAACTGATTAGCTCTTGTACTATTATATTGTTTTTAGTGTCAAAAATTTGCCAAACTATGAATTTTTAGTTTAGTTTACCACGATGTTAGAAAATTTAAATGTCAAAGAAGCTCCCTGACATTCGGTAATTATTAAAAGGGGAACTTAGAAGTTTACATTATTATGATAGTTTCATTCAAACAAGCCAGTCAAAAACGAATTTGCATACTTTTTGAACTAAAAATTTTAAAAACAAAAAAATAAAATAACTAGGTGTAATAACTTGGATAAAGAAAATTGAACAACACTAACATAAAATAAAATTTGAATAAAAAATTTAATATTTTGTCATGGATAGCCATTATGTTCAATGTATACTTGTGTAATCTTCGAGGCATGCTTAAAACCAAGTATCTTGTATATTCTGGGGTTTTTTGGTTCCAAGCTCGAACAATTGATTCTCGAAGATCACCTACATTACGAGGTCGAAATCCTTCCCTATAGGTTTGGTCATTTCCAACTAGACGTTGGATTCAAACCGATGCTTTTTGAAATCCAGGACAAAGTTTCGATATTATGAGTTTGCAAAAAGTTTCGAACTACTCTAGCTTTATGTATAAGGCAATTATTCTGTTTAAATATGTACAAAATTTCCTCCAAAAACTGGTCTCACAGAAACTAACATGTTTTTTAGTATATTGCAGTGAACATCTGTATTAGGCCTCTCTCCAATTCACACACTCCTGGACCCCTGATAGGTACTTATCCAACACCAAACGTTCACAGAAAAGCGACCACTCTGATTAATTTTTCGTGTCTATCTTTCTTCATACCTCATCCCAATAGGTCTATAAACGCAAAGTGTTCCATTGTGGCACGACTGAAATGTTTTCTTAGCAGATACTACAACATTCTCCTAGAAATTATTTTAGTTCTCGTACCCCCAGCAAATTCCATTCTTCTTTGCTCACTTATTATCTTCTGTGAGGATTGTGGGGACTATGTTGTTAGAAGGAGCGCGATTTCTTGGATTTAATAAACTTATTCTTTTTCTTGCTGTGTTTGCCAGGAAAATTGATTTCTTCTTTGGCCTTTATTGCTGTTTGAAATGGATTGTCTCTAAGAAACTGCACCAGTTCATGGTCCTAATTCGGTGTTGCGTCCTGCCTTTGGTCTCTGAATGATTCTACCATATTCCGCAATTTTTTTCCGCAAAATGTTATTTTTGTTTACTTGCAGTTGTGCGGCAATTTGTCTTATACTGTTTTCATCCTGAAGTCGAGTAAAAATTATTGACTTTTGTTCCTCTGTCAGCCTGGGCGTGATACATAAAATGTAGAGAGATTAGGATTCAAAATTAAATCGAAATAAGGACAATGTCAAAATAAAAAAAATTGATTTCGACAATGGCACACTAGGTTAACTTAGAATAATAGTACAGAAGATTATTATAAATTATTTTTGTCCCAGATACTTTTGGTGACCTGACGATGGTACAAAATGTATTAAACAATCTTTAATGAATTCTGTGAAATGTTAAACGCCCCCTGCAGATGAACAAAAGAAAACTGTGATTCCTTTTCTTTTTTTACTTGTGGCAGAAAAAAAAATCTATTGTTTCAAGAGTTATGGGATAATAATTTATTAAAAAGTGCTGTTATAGGGATCTGTAAACAAAAAACTCACTACGGGCTTCAATTGAAGATGACCTAATACCCCTGTTATCTGTTATTTGAAACAATGAGAATCGGTACAGTATATAGGGGTATTTTTTTATGAAAATCTGTTACGGTAATTTTAAAAACTTAAGATAATGAAATTAGTGGTATAGTTGACAGCCCAAAAAAAAAACACTCATGAGTGCTATCCAAGAAATAAGATTCACAAAGCTACTGAGTCCTTGACGAGGACAAACTGTATGTAAACAATACCGCAAAAATTAAATTTACAGAAAACTAGCAAATGAGACAATTTGTCCCATTATGCACACTATTCACACTCTGTGATTTAAAAATTGAAAAATCCTCTGATGAACTAGGTATGCCGATTTGTGATTTGTCACCCATAACCTGAAAGCTTATAATTTAACACAAAAAATATGTCCCGGATCCCTCGTTTTTTGTAATAAATGTCAAATTTTTAGTCGTATGCAACATTTTTGGTCATGAAAGTCTTCATCGTTAAATTTGTTTTAAACCTTTGGAAGTGAAATTTCAAAAACAATTTAAAAAAAGATCCAATATTTTAAATTAAAAACATTTTTACTACCATTTTGACAAGAATAACAGTGAAAACATTAGATTTCAGACAAACGAGCGTAATATCGCACCATCGGCCAATTTTCACATTTTACAGAGTGAAAAATATTCAGTGATAAAAATAAAAGACCGATGCTAGGCATATATGATGGAGTGATAATGTTTGCATATGGACACAACCATCTGATATTCTATTAGTTACCTACCTACCTAACAAATAATTGTACAAAAATTTTAATTGACTTACTCATTATTTTTCTCATGTCAAGTTCGCGGCTTACCTGAAAAATAAAAAGTTTTAATTAGGTTGAATTTAAATAAAAATATAAATAGATGAAAAGTAGATATTCACCAGCACGATTTTAGTAGAAAAGTCTATATAATATTACGTTCCAACCAACATCTGTGACCGCTTCATTTTGATGAAACGCAACAAAGAAAATACCTAATAAAAATAAAAATCAATTTCTCAGATAACCAGTTTTTTCACACAGTATCTATTAGGTAGTTTTTTCATTCCATCTTCGAATAAAGGAAAAACGTCGGAACAAACCGAATTTCAATTTTCCCAGCAGAAGCACCACGCTGTGCAGAAGCAAGTTTGCCATGATATTTATAGATCTGGTTGGTCGTCTTGCATTTAAACAATCAGAATCAAAAAAGGCTTATATGATGTGAAATAGTGAAGTTGAAGATAGATCTATAAACCATTGCACAGTAGGCGCAAGATGCTGCTTCGTGCTGGCGGTGCATTTTTATCATAGTCTTCAAAGCGTTAATTAGGTACGCCGTTTAATGGATGCAAAATTACTGAAAAAAATTACCATGATTTATTTTTAAATTTTTCCTAACTAACTCAAGAACATTTCCATGGCATATTTTTTTCAATAAGATCAGATTTCTAAATCAATCAAAATTGCTACAAAATCAATCGGAAGAATTCCCTTAACCGCATTTCTAGTGCAAGTCTATTTTGGAGAAATTTTGAGTGATTTGATTCGTAAACCTGATCCTATTGAAAAAAATACATGTAGCGAAAACGCTCTAAACTTAGTGGTAATAAGAAAAATTACATTACAACAGTCGTCGGCCTGCTCACTGGGCATTATCTAGTTAAATATCACCTACACACTATAGGCAAAGTAGAGAATGACTGAATAATGCACAAAATATCTATTTTTTAGTCTAGATACAATCTACAATTCAATTTCCTGGACAACCTAATGATGTGTGTATTAATCTACTTTTCAAACAGTGCTGCCAGATCTACTGTTTTGGCAGTAGATCTACTGTTTTTATCCTTGATCTACTGTTCTACTCTTTTACCTTCTAAAACTACTGTTTTTGGGAGAATACAAAGTTGTTCAATTAATTTTGGACGAGTCTTTTACTTTTGAGCAATAATTTTTAATTTTGGTTGCCGACTTCGTGCACTTCGAGTACACGCGGTTAGCAAGGCGAACGTGCTCTAACACTTCCAACCCCAAGGATGATACACACCTACAGGATTGCTTATCGGCCTCGTTTTTGGTAGTCGCCGCCATATTGGTTTGTCACCATTTCCGACGTCATAACTAAGTCGTCAGCTGTTTAAACAAAACAGGCTTGAAAAGGCGAGAAATATCATGCTGCCTACGTGATAACTGGTGATTTGGCGGGAGGGAGGATTTGTTCCACACAGGTCTTATGAGGATAGGCTATCCTGTAGTAGTAGTGTATATCATTCTTGCTCTAGCCCAGTCCTAGAAATTACTCTTAACTCCATGGTCATGAATTGAATGTCAGAAAAAACTGCTCCGACTCCACTCCAACTCAGAACCCGCTGCATTTTCGGCTCCACTGCTCTCAGAACGGCCCCCGTCTGGGCGGTGACGTCACAGATCTCTGCGGAAGTTGCTCA